GCGTCTGGAGGTCTAGGTTTATAACCGGAGAACTGAGGACACCCAAACCATTCTAGAATAGTGCAGAGCAAGAGACGTTTGCTAAGAAATGCAGGTTGATGCTTGCTAGCCATAAAGTGTAAAACCCATTTAAATTAAAAGGACTTTAGGAGTCCCATGCAATGTGACCCATCCCACAGGCGAATTTTTACTTTCGCCTGAGTTTGAGTTGTTGCCTTCCGGCCGCCGTTTTAGAGTGCCTGTGAGGAAGACTAAAAGACTCCAGGTTTCTTTTCTCCATACTGCATTTTGTCTCCTTAATGGCAAATAACTGTCCTTGGACTTTGTATCACTATTATTGCCATTATTATTTTATATTATTGTTCTGTTTATTTTTATCCTGCTGCTAAACTGATTTCTCCTTCTGGGACAATAAAGAAATTGAATTGAATTGAATTGAACTGAACTGAATTGAATTAAATTGATAATCATTAAGTAAAATCATTATGGTTGTGGAAGCCAGACGTGAGTAGTGGGGGTGTAGCGTATATCACACACATCCTGTCAGTAATGCATTGGATTTGCTGTATTTTGAATACACTGAGTTTGCGTCTTCTCTGACAAGCCTGAGGACAAAAGAATTGTGTCATTACTATCTAACATTCACACAAATTCATACTACCATAAAGTCAGCAACTGGGGGTTCGGTATATCTTGCCCAGTGATATTTGGCATGCAGACTGGGGCAGCCTGAGATCAAACATCGAACCTTCTGATGAGTAGACTATCTGTTCTACTTCCTGAGTTACAGCCACCTGATGTGGAGTGGAGAGATGTGTGGAGCGACATAGGCCAGAAGTAATTCCTAGTTAAAGGTTTGCACAGTACATCCTGACGCTATGAAGATGACTTTTTTTCTCTATGTTTTTATCCATTATTGTACCAGAAGTGTGAGAAGATTTAAATATACATATTTCAGCTTACTCTAATAATAACAATGATCACGTGTACATTCAGAAGTCACTGGGTATTGAATTCTTTTCTTTTCTTCTTTTTTTGTTTAGACATTTCCTATAAAAACCTAGAGACAGCTGTCTGGAAAAAATCCATGCAGACCACCAGCCTGTCTGGCACCTATAACCAAATTCAGGGTAACACGTTTCACCTTCCTTAGCTGTTCTGGTGCTCAGTTTTAACTTCAGCAGGTCATCTTCACCATCTCCACATGCCCAAATGCACTGAGCTGATGCCATGTAGTTGGCTTATAAGATAGTTGCCTTAGTAAGCATGTTCTATGATTTGTGTTCCTGATTGTATAAGAGGAATGAACATACATGTGCAGTACATTTCTCCCCGATTTGTGTTTCATTTCTTTACTTGTAGGTGCCACTGTATTCATTACATATTTAAGTTACACCAAGCGTATGTTTGAATTGACTGTCCCTTTTTTTAGTTGGTAAACATTTTGTTTGTATGTCATTTCTTTCATTCTGTGTACATGATATTGGTGTCACAGGAGCCAGACTTCAATATTTTAAGTGTAACAATTTGTTTAACAGATTTTCTGAACCAGGGGTAAAATAAAGCATAGATTAGAGGGTTTAGACAGGAGTTTAAATAGAACAAACACATTACAAATGCAACAGATGAAGCACTGAGCATGGCATCTTGACCTGAGAGTGTGACACAGTAATATGGGCAGAGACATATTAGAAACACAATGATAAGAACACTGATGGTCCTTACTGCTTTCATTTCAGATTTCTTAACATTTGTACTTACTGACCTCTCGTGTGTCAGAGCTGCAATATGTGACCGCAGGGCACGAGCTTGAGTCATAGCCACAACAAATACGTTTAGATAAAGAACTACAATCACAGTGACAGGACCAATAATGGACAGCAATAGATCTGCAACTCCAAAAGCATGGCCAACAACAACCACACACTCCCCATAGCAGGAATTATACCTGCCAGGTTGCACCAGGTTGTCTTTTAGCAGGAGACATTGGTCGACTGAAGAACAAATCCAACAGAGATAAACACATGCTTTTGTTCTTTTTGGGGTGACTTTGGTAGAGTAATGGAGAGGGTAACAAATAGCCACATAACGGTCAATTGATATGAGAACCATGGTTCCTACTGAGGCAGAGGTAATAATGTAGTCCAAGAGAAAATACATACTACACATGAATTCACCAAGAAACCAGCAACCATCTATAATCATAATTTGAAATAAAATCAGGAGACCCACCAGGCAATCAGAGACAGCCAAAGATAGGAGGAGGAGATTGGTGGGGGTGTGCAGCTTCCTGAAGACAAAAGACAGCGACATAGTTATTATTATTATTATTTGTAGCAACAAGTACAATTTTATACAGATATATATATATATATGAGAAAAACAGACATTACTACCGACACACATTTCACTTATACTCTAATATGTTATCTTCATTTTACTGATCCACAAAACCTGATAACCTTATCTATGACAAAATTATTACTTGAAATGTGAGATGGAGATGATGACCAGCAGATTAAGAGTCACAGTCAGTAAAGAGATGGAGGACAATGTAATATAAATGAGTATAGATACTGAGTGAGGTCGTATGGGCTTCCTGCAGGAGAAGTTAAGAAGCTGTGGAAAGCAGAGTTGAGTTTCTTCAAACATTTCCATCATTAGTAAAAAGGAAGAGATAGCTTGCTGTGGAGTTCCACCACCTTTCTGTCTGAAGCTCTTTGCCATATCCTGACTTATTTACTTTCCTGCTTCACATTGCTCCTCCTCCCTTACCTCTGGTGGTAGCTGTTGTTGGAGTGAATAGCTAAATGTTGTCATTGTTGTGTTTAAATTTGTACACCTTGTCTTAAACTGCATCTTTAAATGTTTTTCTGTATAGCTGATGCTATAGCTATAGTGTTTAACTGCAGGCACATTCTACGTAAGGTTCTGGTTTCCTTATTTAGTGAGGAATGTTTACTTCCTGCCCTTTATGGCCTCACCTGTGTTTGTATATGGTGGACCGTTAAAGAAGATAAGCCATATACAGGGGTGAGGGGAGATGACCCTTTATGACCAGCAAGAAGTCACGTATACACACACACGCATACACACACACACACACATACACACACGTATACACACACACGCACACACGTATACACACGCACATACACCCACACACACACATCACATCAATCAATCAATCAAAATTTATTTATATAGCACATTTTTAAAGACCGAAGTACACCAAAGTGCTTTCCAGTAAAATCATGATACAGATAAAAATCACAATATAAAATATAAATTACGAATATAAATAAAGTATAAAATAATTACATAATCTAAATGCAAAGCCAGATGTAAATTACCCTAATTCGCCTTGAATGCCAGGTTAAACAAATACGTTTTTAAACGTGATTTAAAAGACTGAATGGAATCTGATGCGCGAATATGAAGAGGAAGAGTATCCCATAGCCTGGGTGCAGCAACGGCAAAGGCACGGTCTCCTCTGGTCTTCAGCCGAGACCTAGGTTGCACTAAGAGCAGTTGGCCCGATGATCTTAGTGCTCTCTGAGGGCTATACAGACAGAGGAGATCAGCTAGGTAGTCAGGTGCCATGTTGTTTAGAATTTTATAGGTAAACAAGAAAATTTTAAAATCAATTCGGTATTTAATAGGAAGCCAGTGTAAATTTGCCAGAACAGGGGTGATAGAATCGTACTTTCTAGTGCCGGTCAAGAGACGTGCTGCGGCATTTTGGACCAGCTGCAAACGCTGAAGAAGAGAAGATTGTAGGCCCAAGAATTACAATAATCCAGTCTTGAAGTGATGAAAGCATGAATGAGTTTCTCCAGATCTTTGTGTGGTATGTAAGGTTTAGCCTTAGAAATTAGGCGTAGTTGGTGAAAGCTGGTTTTTACCATGCATACACACACACCACAAGCAGTGCTTTTAACTGTTATGATACACACCATCTATGGTTTTGCAATGGGTGTTTGTGTAAATGTTTGTCACTGAATAAGAGGCAGCAAGGGGACACTGGTAGTTGAAGTTGACTGGGATCAGGTGAGGAGCTTTCAGCTCCAAGAGCCGACCAGGCTTCCCTTGTGCAGCAAGTGTAAACTGACTGAGAAGAATTGCCTTGCTTTGTTCATGGTGATAAGTCTCTGAACCAACGGGGCCTGCGAGTGCAGACCCAACATTTATTTGGTCCTTCAGAGCTGGATCCCAAGTACTGGCCTTCCACCGAGGAGGGGGAGGACACACCGAAGTCTGTCGACAGCCAGGACACCCTGATGAAAGCCCCGGAATATGAATTTGTTTCCAGGATTGCACAGGACCAAGCTGAAGAGGAAAACTGCCACAAGACTGCTGCAAGGGGGAGAGGAAGCCAGAGTGGAAGGAGCAGGTGAGGTTGTTTAGTGTGGGAAATCAAAATTGGGTTAGCAAACCTGGGAGAAAAACTGACTGCTTTAAGTGGGAAAATTGAGAAGGTGTTTGAAGCACTGCCAAGAGAAAGGTACAGAAAGTCACACACACAAACAGAAAATGCATTAATCCTACTAACACATACACACATACAATAAAGCTCATGAAGACCAGACAGCATCATAAGCATGTGTTTCTGTTTTATCATCTTGTCCGGTTCACGTAGTGAGATGAAAAGTGATATGTAGACTAGTGGACTAGTATTACATTAGTAAAAATGACTGAATTATAGTAGGGGTGAACAGAATGCTGGAGAGGGGTTCTGAATGAGTGAAACTAATAGATCATTGAGTTTCTTGTTTCTCATGTGTGGCGAAAGATTTAACATAGCACGCATCTGGTAACATGGGAAGAAACTCATTGTGTAAGAGAACAACAGGGTTGTGTGGTGTGTGTGGCTGATGGATGGATAAATGTTTTGGGGATTAATCTGGCAGATGCATTTTTCTTTTGTTGCAAAGTTGAACTTTTTTACTTTCATGGTACACTAAAAGTTTTCTTTGATGATCTCTGTCATTTAAGCAGATCTGCATGATTGGAACTGAAAGCGCTACACAACATGTTGTCGGAGGAATGGTCGCAAAGTAAGCTTCTCCACATTAACATGGGCTCTGGAGAAAGTCATTTATTTGGGACACAATCAGAAAGTGAGGCTGTCTTTCACCTTTTACCTTTTCCTGTTGCTTGTCATGTGTTTCAATGGTGTATTAAGAGTTTTTCACGTGTTATGCGCAGAGGTGGGTTTTTTTCTGTTCTCAAACTGATCTCCCTTTTGGAGCTCAGTCTGGGGGGAGTTCTTTTTTTCCTTGTCTTCCGTGATGTTGTTTATTTTCCATTGTTCCGTTCCAGGTCGCTGCTCGTGCGGCTGACCGGCCAGCTACCCAGCCTGACCTGTCTCCCCAATGTGATGTTTGTGTATTGTATGTATGGTCTGCGAGGTCAGTCTCTCAATAGCCCCTCGGGTATGAATAAAGTCTTCTGAATCCAAATCTGAATCTGAACTGTAGCTGCCTCCACCACTGTGTGAATGTGAGAGTGAATGAATAGTGGAATTGTAAAGCGCTTTGAGTGTCTAGAAAAGTGCTATATAAATGCAAACCATTATTATTATCTCATCTTAAATACTCAGTATGGTTCCAACAACAGTTATTAACATATATTAATGTACAATCCTTAATATATTTCATGTGTGTGTGTGTGTGTGTGTGTGTGTGTGTGTGTGTGTGTGTGTGTGGCTAATTAGGCAGTGAGTCCAGGGGTTTTTCCACCGCTGTATGACAGAGGTGAATAACATAAACCTGACCTTGGAAGCGTGTGATTTGTTACTAGGCCTTGGCCTGGGGCTTAATCCACTCCGGCGCAGCTGGGCTATGGCTCCCCACACCCTCTATGTGTTATAGTGGCGCCTAACTGTCTAGTAAAACATGCCAAACCCACAATGCAAACAACCAGCGGAGGTACAGGCATAAATGGTGACGGAGCTAGCTGCGATGCAATGGGAACAGGGGGATGCCGAAGTTGTGGTGCTGAGCCCTCTGGTGGTAGCAAGGAGCCACTTCAGTGATGTTTGCCTGGTGATCATAGACTAGCTGGGGCTTGTGCGGGAGGACCACTGATGACAATTCCAGGGAGGTCAAATGGGGCTAGAGGATCGACCTTTCGCTTGTGCTAGGAGGCTGCATTACACAATGATAATGTGACTGCTGCCCAGCCCCAAAGAGGCTGCTCGAGCAGTTCATGGAGGGGCAGGAACGGCGGAGGCGTGTCTTCTGCCACTAACCAGCGAGAGATATGTACAGTGTGCCGGTATGGTGCCAAGGGGGCATATGCAGGGCTATGATGGACTCGAGCTGTACGCCCAGGGGCATTGTTGGAAGCAGAGTGTGGAGGTTAGGCGTGTGCATAGAGCAATCTGCAACTATTCCACAGTGCTCGTGGAAATCCAATGTAGCAGAAAAATGCAAAGACTCAAGGTTGCTGTTAGCTCCTGCCTGACACATCTCTTATGAATTGGCCATAGTTCAGTATGTAGGGGTGACCAATAGGGACATGTGAAGTCATTAATTCCAGTCATTCACTCCATGAAAGATTTTTTACTAGAGAAGATGTGACAACACTCTACGTTCGTCCTTTGACCAAGTGAATAAAAATAATGGTCAAATGGTGTGTCCTGACATAGCATTGATATTTTCACATTTTTTGATGATTAGGGAAATGTTATATCCAGTGAGTCACAACACACAGAAAGAGGACAACCAGCTGGCTTATTATACCTGATGGCTGGTCGCACGGGATATGATAAAACTCTAGACAGGCGGATGTGTGCTGGTGGTGTGCAAAAATGGTGGAAGAGAATTCCACAACCGTGGTGCCACTGCCTGAAAGGCAGGTTTTAAATCAAGTGTGTGGGGCCACCAGCAGTCTCTGAACTGATTACTTTAGAGTTCGGAAAAATTAATGCGGTTTCAGCAGGTCAGATAAATATTGGGGAGCTTGACTATGTAGGGCCCTAAAGGTTAGAACTAAAATTTTAAAATGAAACCTAAAACTTACAGGCAACTGTCCTTATTCTTTACTTGAGGATGAGAACAAACAAACACTGGTCTAGATGAGTTCAGTCAAACAATGATTTTATTGAACACACGCGTGGGGAGATGTATACAGTAGCATCATCAGCATAGATCTCCGCTAGAAAGCACACTTCAAAATGGTTTTGATATGTCAGGGTTCAGCCCCTTGTGTCAGCAAATAATATAACATGCATTAGTTACAGTTAGTGACAGTTAAACAAGTTTCCGTTATCAGCAACATTTTTACCATACATGGCATTTTCAACCGTCTTACCCTCCAGATGTTTCCTGTTGATTTGCACTTCTTATGCTTATCTTTAGCAGATCCTGTACCAACTGTTGCTATGCAGGCACAAATGCAGTTACAAGCCAAAAATATATCTCACCTCTGACCTAAAACTCATCTACTGTTATTTGTGTCTGTAAGTGTCATGGTCCGCAGCCCAGCGTCCGAGGAGCTGATGGGATGCCCACGCCCACGGGCGTGTCTGTTAACTCCACACCTGCACCCCATCCCAGGCGATCATCAGGTGGACTATTTGATCCAGCCCAGCCTGCTGCTCCACGCCAGCGGTAACGCACACCTGCGGGAAAGCGATTGTGAGAACTCATCTG